ATGAGAGTTGTCAAGGATTTAATTTTATTTGGATCCACAATTAATGTCCATGGCAGTAGCAATCAAGAAATTAAATGTCACTGTTGCATTGGGCACATCTGCTGCAAACGCCTCTTTAAAGTGTTAAAGTAGAGGGTCATTGAAAAAGCAGAAGCTTCTCAATAAGATGGATTGAAAAAGTGGCTGCAACAGTTGTTTCAAGCATAGCTATGACTGTGAGGATGGCCATGACTGGGCAGTGTTTCGTTCTGTTGTGTGTGGGGCCAGCATGAGTCTGAACCACCTCGACAGCGCCTAACGACGACATCAACAACATGGATACCTCATTTTAGCCTTTCAGGAAATTGTGGGATTTTCACTGGAGAGAGCTGGTGTGCATGTTTGACTGTTTCATCCTCCTTTCTTTCTCATTGGCTTATTTCTCTCTGATTTTCCTTACTTCTACCTTCACATGCCAGACCTACTTAGCAAACTTATCTAGATTTTGATCATCAGTGTTTGAGTGAAGGCAGCTAATGGTCGGTTATTTCAAATCTCTCGTTTTAAATTCTAGGTGAGAGAAATGGAAAGATAATAATTTATTGGTTGATTCTCCTTCTGTAAGCTTTTGTTTCTGTAAATCTTATCTTTTTCTCCATTTGTGGATGGTTCTCCATCAGTCATCATTTTGCTTACTGTTTTCTCAGAGTTCGTAGATATTAGTCACTTCTCCCAAGTTAGGTTTTATGTTCCAAATGTAGCGAGGGTTATATCCTGTCTTTTATATATGCCATGGTGTTCTGCAACTCTTTATTTCTTACATATTTTGAGACACTGAAACAGCACAGTTCCCAGAAAGCATATGGGGGCTGCAAGGGTAAATCAAGTGGAAGCAGCAGCAAGCTGACATTTTAAAGACAGTTCACCGTATTTGGAGAGCCACCATCTCTGAAGCAGAGAATTTTAACAGATCGTGATAGCTCCCTCTGCTCACTAGAGGAAACAATGACCTTCTTCCCTTCTATCATCTAGGAGCCCTGCTGCTCTGGTGGCTCTCTTCTTGCAGGTTGCTGTGTGGCTCTTGGGCATTAGGGTTCCTGTTTGGATTACTTTCTGATGAAGAATTGCTTGCACACTGTAAAACGGACCCCTTCACTTGCCCATAGTGTGTGCCTGTCTCAGAAGCCACCACATCACCTGTGCAGGGCAGTGATGTTGCTCATGTACCAACAGGCCTAAAATACAGGCCTTGCTCGACACGCTCATAAAAACAAATTCGTCAGCAGGAGCGATGGTTTTTCCTTGCTCGGCATGTGATCCGTGGACATGGGGGAAGTAGGTGACTCCTACTGAGTGATTTCACTGACTTTTTATTCTCTTTGGGGCTGCTCGAATGAAATGATCGGCCAGATTTGCTGTTTGCACAGCTTCCGACATTTGGTTTCTGTCTCCCAGAGGGCCGCAGCTTTCCTCAGGCTTTCAGGCCGCTTTTGTGCAGCACAGTAGTTCAAGAAGGTGACTCAGGAGGGAAGACAAAATGGAAATCTTGAATTCATGAAAGCAAAGGATGCATTTATTAGCAAATAGGCTGACTTTGGGGAATGACCTGAAGATCCCTGTTTTTTACAGCCACACACCGTAAGAATCTGTGGTGGTATTGGCTGAAATACAGCTCCCAGGCTGTGGCCACCAGGGTTTCAAACCTGTCAGTCTTTGTAAGTCCTTGGAAATGTGAGTGATTCTGATAGTGGTGGTCCTTGGACCACATCTTGAGAAACTTGGCTTTAAATAGTTTGCTGTAAGGCATATAATTTTTTCTGTCTCTAGCACCTAGGCTGGGCCTGGCATACAGTGGGCATTTCAGACTCTTTCCCTCTTCTTTATATAACAGCTGTAGTCTGTAAGAATTGTTGATTTACTAGATGAGGGGTCCTGCCTGAGCAGAACTCAGAGGTGCCTCTTAGCATTGAGCAGGCCTTCATCACCTCCTGGCTAGTGTCTGTGGACTACGAGAGATCCCCCTGCTAGTCTATGGTATGTCCTGTGGTGAATGAGTGAGTGAGTGCCAGAGATAAGGGGTGTGTGTGTGTGTGTGTGTTTAGATCACTGTGCCTCAGCTTCACAGATTGGCTTTGGCTGTTTATCTTTCCTCTAGGTCAAGCAAGAAATGCCTTAAACCTTTGGGGATTGGAGTGACCTTTCCAAAGAGAAACTGGTAACAACAGACCCAGTTTTAAACTGGCAGGAATAGTTGCTTTGCTCCTGTCAGTATTTATTAGAACATAGGATAATTGCAATTCTTCTGCATTGAGAATTTTGGGAGCTGTCAAGGAGACCTAGCAGAGTTCTTTACATAATGGAGTAAGGAGGTCTGACATAAAGGGGCGTGCCCCTCGGAGTATTTATTACCCCACTCATCTCCATTTCCCAGAGCGCAGTCGGTCCACAGCCAGGGCCCTGCAGGTGTGTCTGACCTGGAATACTCTGGTGGGACAGACCACAAGGACACTGAGGGTGACTCAGACCTGGACAAGAGGGATTTCTTCATTCAGACTGGGATGCTTAAGACTTTGCAAGGACAGATTGATCTTACCGTTTGACTCCACAACTATTCAGATTTCTTGGGAATTTTTCAGGCTGGGGACCAAAAAACCTGTCTCTGTTGATCTCTTCATATTCTTCTCTTATTTCCCGTTTTACGTTAGTCAGTCTGACTCTGGCACCCTGCTCTGGGGCTTTCTCTAGACTGACCTAAAGGATTGCATTGAAGAATTGTCCTTTATGGACCCTTTCCTCCTCCTCTTAAGTCTCCTTCACTCACATCTATATCAGTGTGACAGGTTGGTAAGTGTTCTTGAAGCCAGTGCCTGATGTGGGTGAATAAGGTGCCAGCTCCTCTGCGCTCGCTAGTGTGTGTGGAAGTAAGTATGCACTTACTTTTGAAGTTCTGGTCTCTTGTTAGAGAACGTGAGTTCCCTACAGTCATGGGAACTGGACTTTGGAAACCCGTTTGTCTGTCATTGTCGTTTCAGTCCTTCGCTGCCTTTTCATTTCATTCTTTGAGTCTGATCTCTTCTGAGGGCCGTGTGGCTCAGTGGAAGAATTCTTCTCTTCCATGCAGGAGACCCGAGTTCCGTTCCCAGCAGTGCACCTCATGGGCAGCCTCCGCGTGTGTTAGCGGAGGCTTGAGTATCGCTATGATGCCGATCAGGTTTCAGTGGAACTTCCAGACTAAACAGAGCAGGAGAAAAAGCCTGGCAGTCTGGTTCCGAAAATTAACTGTGAAAACCCTGAGGATGCCAGTGTTCCAGCCCCATCGTGCATGGGGTCACTGTGAGCCGGGGGTGATTCGACAGCAGCTAGCAACAGCTCTTCCTATCTCCCTGCAGGGGACAGTCTGTCGTATTACAGAAAGGCTCTTGAACTGCGAGCCTAAGTGTCTTCTGGGGGTGGGGGGAGTATATGAACTTGTGCAGGATGGGTCTGCTTTGAATTGTCTCCTGAGTGTCCTCCCCATTTGTGGGGACACTACCATGGCATGGACAGATGACACGGTGCCTGTCATTGCTGTCTGGGCACCAGGTTCAAGTAGCTCAACTGCTGTTGTGCTCAGTTCTGGCCCGGTCCCCTCAAGGTACCTAGGGTGGCGTATGCATGTATAAACCATCACGATCCACTGGGGGCAAGTGAGATGCAAGCCTGGGGGCTTCGTCATTGGCTGGTCTCTGCCCAGAGGTCTGCTGCGGGCTGCTTCAGACTCTGGATCTTCTTGTGACGTGTTTTTGGGGCTGCTGCTCTTCCTCTTCCCTGGGGTGGTAGGGATTAGACATTTACTTGGTATTTGTGTGAATTTTAATATTAAGAAGAGTTAAATTCTCGTTAAATCTTTCTTTTGCTAGCCCTTGGCAACTAGTCAAACTTTTCCAGAAAAATATATCACTTAATGGCCCTACTCTATGACATATACCTAAACGTGTTGTTGTTGATTCCAACTCATAATGACCCTATGGAACAGTGTACAACTGCCCCATAGGGTTGCCAGAGCTGTAAATCATACAGAAGCAAACTGCCACATCTTTGTCTCGTTTGAACCATTGGCCTTTTGGTTAGCAGCCAAACTAACTACCATGCCACCAGGGCTCCTTCTAGGATATATGTCCCTCATTGAGGTGTTTCTGAACATGCGCCTCAGTGCTCGGATAATAAGCATTTGGAGGCTCAAACTGGGAAAAGGCTTCTCACCTTGGTCAGTCACCTCTTTCCTTGGGTCATGTTAATCACAGTCCTTCTCCCGTTCAGCTGATAGGACTCTGCCTGAGTGTAGGTCTGCCAAACTCATTTCCATCAGGGCACTGAAGACCTTCTCAGATCTGCCTGTCCGTGTGCACCCTCCGTGAATCGCAGGCATGACAGTCTGCAGGACCGTGTTTCGTGGGTCGGGGCTAGGCTTAGCTTTGAGGATGTATCCTGTGGGCAGAGAGGAGTAATTTCTTATTAGAGAAATCATTCATTCATTCTGTCTCCTTAGTAGTAGGTATACATTGAATATTTGTAGAAGGAAAAGCACCAGCAGATAATTCCAATAGAACTGGTTAGGTTCATTAAATGTTAGATGTTAGATGTTATTTTCCAATCTCTGTCTTAATAATGTTTTCTACTTAGCACACTTAAACTAATTCAGGCCATTCATAAATATCTTGGAGTCATCTCTTTTTAAATGCACAGTTGTAAAGGATACAGAGGAAAATAAAACAAGGTAAAACAGGTGAGTTAAAATGGTCTTTTCCTAGGCTTTGAAGGAAAAATATTATTCTTCACGTACTATGAAAGTGTACACGTGAGGTAGTCATGGCGGTTCTTACCATAATTGCATTCATGCATGTTTTGGTTTCTCTCAATTATAAATTAGATTGTTTCCCTGTAATTATTCGCTGTTGTCTAAGTAATTTATCCAGGATGCAGATGAGTAGAAAACAGCTAATTTCTATGAAGACTGAAATGTCTGCTTGTGCTTCTTTCAGGAAAGCCTCACAGCACTGGCGGCTCGGAACGGATCCAGCTCTCAGGGACGTATAATGTCCGCAAAGGCAAAATGCAGCTGCCAGTGAACCGGTGGACAAGACGCCAAGTCATCCTGTGTGGGACCTGCCTGATAGTATCATCAGTGAAAGACAGCGTGACCGGAAAGATGCACGTTCTGCCACTCATTGGTGGGAAAGTAAGTTGAGAACAAACCACATGCCCACTTTCTGGTCTGTTAAGCTTGAAGCTACTGGCTTTCCTGCACATTCAGCAGCTTACTCAGGGCCTTTCTCTGGTAACTAACTGGTAGGGGGTTGTGGACTCATCCATGAGGTCTTACTCAGCTCTTGTTGCTTTCCACTGGTGAGCGTTTGTTGCTTGGAGTTGTGAGAGGTAACCGTGCTGTTGGCTCACGTGAGGCCATGGTCATCTTCACGCCAACAGTACATGTGTTTCTCAGATCAGCTAGAGTCTCACTGTATGTTCTAGGCTCTTCCAGTTAAGTTCGTTATTGAGTTCATGTCTTGAGTGTCTCTTCTGCAGTGTCCTTTAATGATCCCTCAGCCTTTGCTCTTAGAACCATTCAGCCATGCTTATCAAAGGTGAGACTCGGTAGCACTAAGTTTTTGATTCCACTTTGCCTTACATCTCTGTGTTTAGTGGCCATTGGGGTTTAGAATTCTGAGTTCCTTCACTGTGGCTAGTCTTAATTTTTGAGCCTCAGTTCTGAGGAAACATGATATTATGGACAGATTTCTGACTTCTGGCTGCTTTTCTTTGATCATGTTAACTTTCACTTTTGTCATTTATAAAATAGAACTAGGGAAATGCTAGAAATGGGAAAATGCTATGTGCTTTGTCAGCTTTATTTTTATAAACCCTAAATGGTGGTAGGGGAAGCATTATTATAATTATATGTCAGTATTTCCTGATGGTACGATAATCTGTGAGTAAACGGGGAGGCAGCTTTGGATGATTTTTTTCCTTGACTGGCATGGAAAAGGAGGCAGGTAGAGAACAGAAAGGAAGGAAAACTAAGAAACTACTTGTTGCTCAAATGAAGCTGACAAATGTCTGATTTGCTGGTTCCAGGGTTTAGACATGAATAAAATGAGACCGGATGTATGTGCAGTATTAAATGGTTTTATTCCTCACCTGCTATGGGACAAGATATTCTTCATTTCCAAGTTTAAGTAACTCTTTCCTTAGGAATAAATAGCCCATGTCAGATTTTCTCCTCTGCTGTTGCACGCTCTCATCCTAAGAAGGCCAGTGCCGACCGTGTTCAGAAATAAGCTCTGGCTGGGCTGCCAGCTACGTTTAGACTGATTTCAGTTGTGCATTTAGAAACTGTTGCTCCTTAATTTTTCTCTGAACATTGCTGTTCATGGCTGATACTTACTGTTGAAGATCTTGCCCTTTGGGTGGATTACTGAGAAATCAGTCGTCATTATTACTGCCATAGCTCATCATGTTGATTGCATATTTAATATTTGATTCCCGGTAGGTCAACAGTCTCTCTCTCTTTGCTATGAAGTTAGACATTTGCATAGGCGAACTTAACGTAGCTGTTTATTAAATATCCTCTATGGGGAAGGCAGTGTGCTTGTCACCTGGAAATACCAAGAAGGGTATCCATACTGTCCCTGTCTCTGAAGAGCTTATTGTTTAGTATCAGGACGTGAAGGATGGACACAATGTCTGCTTTATGAGATGTGCAAAAGAATACTACAGGAGCTGAGTGGATGGAGATTACACTGAGTGCAGGGGATCAGAGGTTTGTAATACAGGAGGTGGCCACTGTGGTGGAACTAGAAGGCTGAACAATCCCTTGACTTGGGAAGGAGATGGTCTGAAGATGATTATGCTCAGAGTGGCGCAGCAGCAGGGAAGCACAAGCAATGTTCAGGTCAGCGGTGCAGCTATAATTAGCGTTTTCATTCAGAGCCCAGAGACTTGTCCTGTTTCCCAGGCCCTGTGTGCCCAAGCCTACAGTGGGATGGGCTTTTTACCATTGAGTGAATTGAAAGTTAATAACTTCCTCTTTTCACAGGCAGACCTTGTAAAACCTGTTTTGGATTATATGCCTTTGAAAATAATTGAGTCTGTTGAAAAATTGAGTCTTTTGAAACCTGTTGACTGAGTTAGGAAAAAATCATTCACTCTTTTCAATCTGAGTTTCACTGTTTGTTCCATTGTTCATGCTGTTGTTAAAGGACAACCAGTGACCAGTTGTCAGTGGGTCAGTTCTGACTTAACGGCAGCCTCGGGTGTATCGCTGACTGATTTTTTGGAGGTAGATCTTCCTTCTGAGATCCCTCCGGACACACTCAAACTGCAAGCCTTTTGGTCAGCAGCTGAGTACTTGACCATCTGCCCCACTCAGTGCCTACACTGGGAGTAAATCAAAGGTTTATTTTCTTTATCTTTTACAATAAATATAAAGATGAGATAGAAGTAAGGTGTGATATTGATTGGTCATATCCTGGCTATAATTACTATGTCATCAAATTTGACATATTACTTGAACGTGGTCAATAGTTTATATTTTCAAATTCCAAAAATGGATTTTAGTAAAAATTAAATTAGAATTTAATTGTTGAAATATTTGTTTAGTAGCTAAGCTTTCATTCATTTTGCAACTAGTGTGTTATATTCTATTTCTCCTTTAGGATGTAACATGTAGATTTTTTAGATGATAATTAAACTTATTTTAACTAATACTTTCAACATAAAGAAAACAAAAGTCCTCATAACTGGTCCAGTAAGCAACATCATGATAAATGGAGAAAAGATTGAATTTGTCAAGGATTTTATTTTACTTGGATTTACAATCAACACCCATTGAAGCAGCAGTCGGGAAATCAGATGACATATTGCGTGGGGCAAAGCTGCTGCTGAAGACCTCTTTAAAGTGTTAGAGCAACGACATCATGTTGAAGACTCAGGTATACCTGACTCAAGCCACAGTGTTTTCAGTTGCCTCATATGCATGCAAGAGCTGGACAGTGTATAAGGAAGACTACAGAAGAATGAATGCACTTGGATTGCGGTGTTGGAGAAGAATAGTGACTGTACCATGGACTGCTAGAAGAACAAACAAATCTTTCTTGGAGGAAGTACAGCCAGAATGCTCCTTAGAAGTGAGAATGTCAGACTTTGTCTCTTGTACTTTGGCCATGTTGTCAGAAGGGCCTGTTCCTGGAGAAGAATACCGTGCTTGGTGAAGTAGAGGGTCAGTGGGAAGGGGGAGGCCCCTCAGTGAGGTGGACTGACACAGTGGCTGCGATGACGGACTCAAGCAGGGAAACGGTTGTGAGAATGATGCAGAACTGGGCGGTGCTTTGTTTTGATGGACACAGGGTCGCTGTGAGTTGGAACTGCTTGATGGCACCTAACAACAACTAATACTCTATTTGTGATTCGTTAAATAAGCGATATTTTATAATAAACCAAATAACTGAACCTGTTCCTCACCTTAGGAACTATGACCGCGTTGATACCAATGTTTCTTTCTACCTGTGTTCTCTTTACGTCTGCCCTGTTGCTTCCTCCAACCTCAGAGGTATCCACTGTCCGAGAATGTATATTTATCATTTTCTTCCATTTTTGAAAAGAAAATATATAACTATGTCATTTATTTTTTATCTGCATGAAAATGACATTCTGTGATTAACTTTTTTTCACACAATATTATGTTTCATAAAAAGATTCCATGTTATATATGCTTTTCATTTCTGTATATTATTCCACTCTGTAAAATTCCATAAATTCTTAATTGATTTTCTCGTTGATGGATGCTTAAGTTGTTTCCAGTTTTTTGTTCTTATAAACAATACTGCTGTATGTGGACTTGTGTTTATGTATTTTCTGGATGCAAGTAGTTTTTCTAGGGAAACAGTTCTCAACTAGGAGCCATGATGGCACAGTGGTTAAAGTGCTAGGCTGCTAACTGAAAGGTCAGTGGTTTAAACCCACTAGCTGCTCCATGGGAGAAAGATGTGGCAGTCTACTTCAGTGAAGATTTACAGCCTTGGAAACCCCGTGGGGCAGTTCTCTGTTCTATAGGGTCACTATGAGTCAGAATCGATTTGACGGCAGTGGGTTAGTTGTTTTGGTGTGGTTTGGTTTGGTTCTCAACTAGAGTTACGTGGCACGGGGAACACTGGGTGGTTGGTGGGAGCATTCTGACGGTGCAGTGATTGAATCGGTCAGCATAGGCTAGGTTATGCTATACTAACAACTCTTATTCCACCTCTCTTCTCAATGACTTCACACATTTATTCCTGGCGTATATTCTGTGCCCATGGTGGTTGATGAGGGTGCAGACTTCCTTTACACAAGGGCCAACCCAGTGGAGGCTCTGCTGTCTTGTAATTATAACGTTTGAAGCATGTGATCTTACTGTCTTGCTTTGGCAGGGATATATGTAACTGGAGGGTCGCTCGCTCTCTCTGTATAGAGATGACGTTGAGTATTTGAGTATTGATCTTAATATCCAACCTTCTTGCTAAATTTTCTTACTTATTTTGATGTAATGTCTGCTGTTTCTTAATAGCTAATGGTATAAAATTCCAATAGTGACACTTTTGTTTCTTCCCTGTATATTTCTTTGTGTTTTTGTAATGACCAGAACTCCAGTACAGTGTTGACCAGAAACAGTAGGACTTGTTTTGTGGCCAGTCCAAAGGAGTTGCATCTCTTCGCTAACACTGAAGTTTGCCTTAGATAATTGATAGATAGCCTTGATCACCTTAAGGGAGTTACTTTGTGTCCTTGGTTTGCTGGTCCTTTTTTGTCATGAAACAGTAGGGACTGTTATCAAATGCTTTTCTGCAGCTGTGAGTGTGATAATATGGTTTCTTTATCTGTTAATATGATTAATGATTATTTAGATCTAATAACATTAAACTATTCTTGCTTTCCTCAGATTTATCCAACCTGATATGATCTTTCTGTTACTGGAATCTGGATGTAACATTTTGTTTAAGATATGTTTTCATGATGGAGGTTGGCCTGTAATTATCCCTTCTCTTACTATTATGATAGGGTTTTGTTTATACTGGCTTCAGAAAATGTGGGATTTTTTACTTTTTTCCCCCTTCATTTTCTGTTTGAGTATGAGTTTGCGTAAGTTTTAAATGATCTTTTCCTTGAAACTTTCTAAAACTTACCTATAAAACCCTATGGGCCTGATAGTTTTTAGAGTTTTTAATTTTTTTTCCAAAGTAAGTGATTTCTTAAAGGGTTATAGGACCAGTTAGGCCTTCTCCTTTATTCCTTCAGTTAATTTTGGTAGAATATCTTCTTTCTGAGGATGCTGAAAGTTATCTGTAATCTCTTTTAATCTCTGCTGAGCTTGTAGTCAGCCCCTTTTTTTTTCCTGATAGAACTTGCCAGATTTATCATTTTTAATACTTTTCTTCAAAGAACTAGTATTTTGCTTTTTAATGTTTTTCATTGTATATTTGTTTTTCCTTTTACTAATTCTCTTGTCTTTATCATCACCTTTATTCTATTTTGGATTCATTCTGTTTCTGGTTTTGACTTTTCCCTCTAAATTCTTGAGGTGCATACCTGCAATATTAATTTCCTGCCCTCTTTTCTAGTATAAGTCTTTAAGAATATAAATTTCTAAGTATTTACTTTCATTGCATTTCACAAATCCCCATATGTGGTATTTTTATAATTGTTCTAAAAGTTTTAACATTTTAATTATGATTTCTGTTTTTATCCACAAGTTGTTTAGAAGTGTGTTATTAATTGTCTACACCTGGGGACTTTAATTTCATGGTAGTTATTTTCTGATTTGAATTTTTTGTTGAAACCATGTGTTTTTGGTAATGAAGGCATTTTGAATGAAAGGAATTTTGTTTGTTTGTTTTTGCAGTAATATGGATTTTGATGCAGTTAGTGGGACATATATGTCCCAAGGTGTGCTGGGGTTGGTGAGATGAGGCATGTTTCTTTAGATTCACTCAGTTAAACAGACCCCCACCAGATGGCCACATGCACTGAAAGTGGGATAACATCTTCCCATCAAACCCCAGAAGCAGAAGTGTAGGTGGTCACGTTATGTACCCTGGATCATGAAAGGGTTTATTTTTAAAAGATTTTTTTTTTTTTTTTTTTACATTTTCTTTTTGACTTGGTTGGTAGTCATAGTTGTAAATGTAGCAGTTTGTGTATATTTATGTTTCTTTGTTGTTAGGATTCTCCTAATTGTGAAGACTTTACTGGGAGTGGAAGTTTGACTTGATGGTACTATTATATCATTAAGGACTGTAATGTTATAATGGAAGAGCTTTACATCAGCTTAATCTCATATTTCTTTTACTTATTTAACATGCTCGAAGACGTCTTTTAAAAAAAAAAGATAGTAATTCAGAGTAACAAAAAATCCCCTGCACGTAAAAGCCGTCCTGAGAGGAAGTAAGAACCGCAGCAGCCTTCTTCTGAGGGTACAAGGATAGGAGAAGATAGTCTATTCCCGTCTCAAACAGGAAGAAGAGAACTTCACTATGGTGGGGAAATCTAATAAGGGGAAAAACTCCCCTTTTCGGTTTCCTTCTAATTCAGATTAGTTGTTCAGAGTCAAGAACTTACATGTTTCATGTAATGAAGGACCTAAATATGGGAAAGATAGAAGTCTATATAGACTTGCTGATCCAAGTTGCATGTAATGAAATATGTCAGTGATTCTGCCTTTTCACTTGTGTTTGTCTCTCTGTTTTTATAGGTAGAAGAAGTAAAAAAGCACCAGCACTGTTTAGCGTTTAGCTCTTCTGGACCCCAAAGCCAGACCTACTACATTTGTTTTGATACTTTCACAGAGTATTTAAGGTGGCTTCGACAAGTCTCCAAGGTAAGCAGGTCCTTACCCAAGAATTCTGGTGAGCTTCTAGCTGGCTGAAAAGTTACTTTGTGCTTTATCCAGTTCCAAAATACAATTAAACACAGGTTTTTTGTTTGTTTGTTTTTTAGTTTTTAAAGATAATGTCAGTGGTTAGCTATTTTTAGTTTTTTAAATTTTGGCTGAAAAGTATCTTTTCATTTTAAAAAGAGTGTGTTTGTTTGCCAAATTTTGTTAAGTACATACTGAAAAAAAATTTGGTGGGTGGACTGGCATTACTTCTCTAATACAGATAAGAAAAATTAAATTGAGACTATTTAAGGAACTGACCTAGGCAAGACAACTATAAAACCACAAAATACCCAGGGAATTGTTATAAATTTCCCTTCTTCTGACTATTGCTCTTGTAAACAGACTAATCTTGTGCCATCCCCTTTTCACCCTTCTTGTGCATTGCAAGAGGTGAATTTTTTAACCTTCCTTGGTTTGAGCATTTTGTATTCCGCTTATTAAGTAATAAGTAAGGTCATCATGACTCAGAAAGTAATAGACCTGTGTGTGTATTCAGTGGAAACCAGAGTAACAATAAATAAATAAGTGCTGATATCTCAGGTACTCTTTGTAAGAATGTTTTAAAAATCTGTAGTTTTAAGAGTTTAAAGTTTCATTTATGAAGCTGTATTTAAAGCTCTGAGGGTTTGTTTTCCAGTCTCATTTATGAAGCTGTGTTTAGGATGGTGGGGTGGATTCCAGCTCTGAGTGCCTTGGTTTGGAGTGTGCTTATGAAGTGATAAAACCTCTCTGGGATGCAAAAACATCGGGGTGGAATTTGCCTGCATGGTTCGGAATTTATAGTCCAATTTATTATCTAAGGTCAATGTGATTCATGCTTCTCTGTGAGGTAAGGATTCGTCAAGTGAATGACTAAGGGAAACCAGCAGAAAATTAGAACATAATGTCTTGCAAGTCTTTTTAAATACTGGCCACATTCAAGTTACCAGATTAAAACTGTTTCTCTGGTAATGTGATTTGACACATGAACCTTCCTTTCTCTTCCTTTTAGAGAAGAGAAAACAGGCAGAATTTAGATTGATGGGACTTAAAAGTGTCTTTCCCCAATAGGCAAATAAGGGAGCCCTGGCAGCTCAGTGGTTAAGCACTTGGATGCTAACAGAAAGGTCAGTGGTTCAAACCCACCAGCCACTCCATGGGAGAAAGATGAGGCAGTTGGCTTCTGTAAAGATTACCATCTTGGGGACCTCCAGTAAGATGGTGGAATAGGCAGACAAGTTACACAGACCCTCTTCAACAAAGAAAAGAGAAACCAATTGGCAGAGATACAGAAGATAATCCTGAAGCCCTGAGTTTTGAAAGGAACTATACAGAAGTGGATTAGGCACCAGCTAGTGGAAAAACCTGAATGAAAACAGTGAGTACAGAGATGGACAGAGCTGCAGACTATCAGCTACTTTGGCAGGACCCAACAGCCTAAATATTTCTAAGTGGTGTTGGGACCTGATAATTGACCTAAAGATCAGCCCTGGTCGTCAAGGGCTACAGGGATGACTGTACTGGTGGCCTATGACTAGGAAGGGAAACAGCAAGGAGGGAGACAACCTGAGCTGTGGCCTTTCTGCTTTCCAGAGGGTGCAGCCATTTTGATTGTTTATAAGCGTAGCCATTTTGGATTTTTAAAGTGACAGCATTCTCATTTGGATTCCTGGGACCTAAGAATAGGCTCAGTTTGACAAGGATGGTGGGGACATACAGGAGGCTGACAATGGGAAGGGAGACAGGTGGTGAGTGTATAAGTGCTGCCACCTAATGCATAGAGGGGCACAGTACCCTGAACATCCAAAGAGAACAAAAATCGTGGGCAAGTCACTCCAGCATACAATGATCAATTAAATATAAACACAAAAATGTCACAGTGTTGCAGAGACAACAGAGCATCACAGTCCACACAAAGAAGCAAGATAAAGCAGGAAAAATAGGGACCAGCATATAGACCCAGAACACATCCCTGAGGAAGAAGCAGCATTGGAACTCCCTGGTAAGTAGAATTCAAAAGAATTGTATTTAGGTACCTTCAGCATTGTATAGCATTGGGCAGATCTGCAAAGGACCTCTTTCAAGTGCTGAAGAGCAAAGATGTTTCCTTGAAGACAAAGGTGCGGTTGACACAAGCCATGGTATTTTCAGTCACCTCATGAACATGTGAAAACTAGACAATGAAAAAGGAAGACCGAAGAAGAGTCGATGCTTTTGAGTTGTGGTGTTGGCAAAGAATGCCAAAAGTACTATGGACTGCTAAAAGAACTAACAAATCTGCCCTGGAAGAAGTATATCCAGAACAGTCCTTGGAAGTGAGACTGGCCAAACTTCGTCTCACCTACTTCGGTCATGTTGTCGGAAGGGACCATTCCCTGGAGAAGGATGTCATGCTTGGCAAAGTGGAGGGTCAATGAAAAAGAGGAAGCCCCTCAATAAAATGGATTGACACAGTGGCTGCAACGATGGGTTCAGGTGTAGCAGGGATCATGGAGCTGGTACAAGACCGAGCAGTGTTTCATTCTGCTATACATGAGGTCACTATGAGTCGCAGATGACTTGACGGCACGTAACAACAACCACCTTCAACGAATTGAGAGACAGATCCAGGAAAACAAAATTGAAGAAAACACAGACAAAACCCTAGAATAATTTGGAAAGACAGTACAAGAACAAAATGACAAAATAAATGAAGAATTAGAAATGATACAAAATCTACAGATAGAAATCCAGAAGATTAATACTAAATTTTCAGAAACAGATAAGACATTGAACGGGCAAAGGAGTAGAATTGAATCAGTGGAAGACAGAATTAGTAAGATTGAAGGCAAATACCTCACTACTTCTTTGGAAAGGGATCAATCAGAAAAAAGATAAAAACAGAATGAAGAAAGCCTGAGGTTCATGTGGGATACCATCTGGTGGCATAGTGCCTAAGGCATTTGACTGCCAACCAGAAGGCCAACAGTGCAAACCCACCAGCCACTCCTCAGAAGGAAGTTGGGTGATCTACTTCCATAATGATAC